TAGAACAAGCAAAGAACACCCACACTTGCAAAACTGGAAATTAAAAGCTAGATTAACAACCAACAACTTTTTCAGAATAAAAACCGTTGTCCCCGACAACGGTGCCAAAAACTTGACTCGCATGAAACTACACCACAATAAAACCCCAATTAGAGCCCAATTTTTTAAACTCTAATCGGGTGCAGTATAGGCAAGTATTTAGATAACGATCTGGGCCGGTCCATCTATCCCTACTTCCGTTGTTGAAATCATTATCTAGCAACTAAACTTTGGTTTAAAAGGCTTGCTAGTTGAAATAAAAGAAAGCAAAGGTGATTGGGTTTGAAAACTCTTTTATGGGAAAGTCACTCGGGTGTCGCTTCCCCCTAACCGCTACCACGCTATGTGGATTGGAATGATTGCCTTGGGCACACTAATCGTGAACCGCATAGGAATGCATATGCGGTTGGAGACCACAGTCTCAATTGCTAAACCGAGGTGAGGATGAAAGGTCGTGTCACTCGACCCTCTCGGTTTAGACAATCGGTAATTGACTTACTCCCTCACTCAACTCTAAGGTCCGACGATTTAATCACGATTAATCGACTTGTTTAACTCAATATTGAGGGTTTCCCTAACTCATCCTAGTTTAGGTGGCTTAGAAAGCGGAAGGAAAACCAACTCGATTGAGTCTCCCTTGAAAGGGGGATTCTCCTCCTTAAACTAGGCTAAGGTGGCAAATTAGATTACAAGCACCTAAATGCACAAACTTAGGGGCGCCACAATTATGCACAATCCCTAGGTTGTTAAGCACCTAAATGCACAAACTTAAGGATGTAAGCACAAAATATGCACAACCCCTAAGTTGCTAAGCACAAACATGCACAATCATAGTGAATAATGCTTCAATCATTGAATTGAACAATACCCAATGACGATCATCCAAAACACATACAAGAAAACTACATGGTAGAATTAGGGTTTCATTACACCCAAGTGAAAGGAGGTCTACTCCATGCTATAAGTGGGAAGAACAAAAGGGGAAAAGGTGGAAACCATCTTTGAGGATGCTCCCTCTCTTCTTGACCCTTGAATTCAACTTTCCTTGGGGGAAATCTTCCCAAAATCTGCCTTGAAGCCAAACCCTAACCTTCTTCTTCCCTTTGGTTCTGTTTCTCTCACTAGAATGCTGGAAAAAGGTGTTTCACACAAAAGTGGGCTCACCCCTCTCTCCTCCTTTCAGCTCATCTTTTAAACCCGAGAAGAGCTGAGTTCACGGCCGTGAACCATCAAACGCGTCGGTGAACAAAAGGCGTGCACCAAAACGCTCTGCATCACTCACGTCTGTTCACGGTCAACTGTATGTGTTCACGGTCTTAGTGAGTGACTGTGAACTCACCTCGCGTCAGTAACATTCACATTGGCTCTGGACGTCAGGAGCGAATTTGGCACAAACATCTAAGTAAAACGGGGGCAAAACATGTGCAATTAGGCCCGAAATCAGTGGTTAGTCTAGGTTAGTTAGTTTAGTTTTATCAATCACTATCCTAGGTTGGCTAGATAACGAACCCTAAACCTGAATTAGGGTAAGCCTAGATCCCCATGGTACGATAATTTCTTATTGTTTGCTTTCCCTATACTAAACCCGATCAGTGGTTATACTTGGCCGTCGATCGGGATGTTGTAGTTAGAACGAGAATCACTTTCTTGCTAATGATAATGTTTCTGTTTGTTCAAAAACAAAGACCTGGCTTCCTTACACTGAGCATTACCTTTATTTAGACCATATCCGTTACCATTTGGACTCTGATTTTGGGGTTCAATGTGTGTCTTACAGCTACCACCTTAACCACCTTACAGCTACCACCTGATCAACTTGTATTGCTCTTTCCACTGTGAAGCTTAGACAAGTTCGAGTGTAATGTCAAACAAAAGTACCGGTAAAAGAAAACATAAGACTGATTGCATACGAATTCTTTAGATAACTGTAATAAAGTTGCATCATTTCCCCCCGATAATTGCATTATTATTTATTTGTAAGGCCTTTACCATGATTTATTTTAGATCAAGACACAAATTAGTAGGTAAATTTGTTCTGTTATAATAACTCTGTTGATTCAATAGTCATGAGATAGAACTTTAGAGGCCATGTTCTAAAAGTATACATGATCTCAACTCCACTATAAGGCTGTTGTTAGGGAACAATGCTCTTTTCTAGTCTGGTCCACAAAAACCACCCTAATTCTTCTCAGATAATCTGTTTCATCTTCAGTATTTTAGTGGTTGCAGATTTGTTGTCATTGCTTTTGAAACACTATTTATTTATTTATTGAATTATATGTTGACTTATCATTTTCCATTTTCTGGCTTCCCCATCTCTTTGCATGTGCTTAGCTCATATGCCCGACTGTAGATGTTCTGTGGATGTTTCAGGTTGAAAAGGATAATCTTATATGGAGGGAAAGGGAACTATACATAAAAATGATTTGCTTGATGTTTATTGAAAAGAGGCTGAAAGTTCTGTTTCCTGGATAGGAAAAGGAGTGTACGAATTTCTCCGTGATTGCACACCATCTGTAACAAATTTTGGCAGGCAGTCAGGTATCAGATGTGATCTAGGAAGAACAGAATCACTAAATGAATGTTGTCCTAATGAAGAAATTCCTGAACCTGAATGCGACTTTTGGGTTGGAATGAAAGCAGAACTTCCTGAACCTGTAGAGAACAAGATGGCACTCCGAGCATAAACCTGTAATTCTAAGCTGGTCCTTCGCTTTTAACACTTGTCCAAGCTGTCAATAACCTGGGATGGAGGATGGTAATCAAGGGTAACCAGCTGCAAATGTATTTACCAAGGAAAAACGAAGTCAAGCTACCAGCGATTTCACAGCTATCACACTTATTATACATATACACATGTTTCCAACCAACCTGAATGTTGAGTATCTGCATGTTGGGGGAACTCATGATTATACAAACAAGAACACGAGCCTTCTGCCACTATCTAATAAAAGATGAAATATTTTGAGGACTTTCAAGTGATGAAGATGCGTTGGAAGCTTGTAGGGGACTTGACCTGCAACAAGGAACTAAAAGAAAGCCAAACACACATCACAACAACGTGATGAATTCTGATTGGAGAAGAAAACCCAAGTGCATTGCCAGCAAGATTGAACAACAACTAATACAGAAAAACAAACCTTGCAAAAACTCAATTCCAATAGTTAACTGCTGGAGAGCAAGGAGAGAAGTAAACACAGCGACCATGTAACTGCAATCTCCTTGAATCCATGTGCTCTATAGCATTGTCATCTTTCCACTACCTTTTCATTTCTACCTGAAGAGGATATAACCAAGAAATTGAATATCAAAATCAGCAGTAAGTTCACATCCATCAATCTACCTATTATGATTCCCCACAGTTATGAGTTTAGCAAACGCAGAGCTTAAATCAACATCAAGTTCTTAAGGCTTGACAAGATAGCAAGTGAGAGTTGAAGTAATGTAAATTCCACATGAAATTGCAGATGGGGCATAGTTGAGGCTTGACAAAATGCACTTATGAGCTAAAAATCATTACTTTCTACATATGACGGCTAACTCACAGTCTATTGACAGAACAATTAACCTTTACTAACTACTCCCTTGATTTCACAGCAAGACGACCTGCTCCTCTCCTGCAATTAAAGTTCAAATTATTGATAACCGTTCAGAATATTGCTTGCCAAAGGAATGTTCAGATGGAATTATCTGATGGAATCATCCATCACACTCAAAAATCAAAATAACAATTAGAAAATATGAAGTTCATTTGGACGCTACCACATAATACACATACAATGAACCAAGTAGATGACAGACCAACAAGCCAAGAAAACTGACGTTAAGGTTTGAGTTCCATCAAAGTGAGAGCGAGAGGGATGAAAGAAGAGTATCATTCCAGTATGGCTATGAACCGAATTGATCCTTCTATTGGAACCCGGCAACATCATCTTAGAAGCTATGAGCTTCTCCACACCCTAATATTTGAACCAACACACAGAAACAATAAATACCCACCCAATTCTAGTGAAACCACTTAACAAATACAAAGAAACTTGAACAACTATTGAAAAAGAGGGCCAAAAGAGAAAGGGACCATGGCTTCAAGAAATTCAAAGTGCATTTCCATATCAGGGTGGGGCTCTATCACCGAAGTAAAGCTTCTGATGAACCACTAACTTCCCTTGCAACAACACTCCTCCCAAAGTCCCAGCCTCAATTCCAGCATATGCATCAGTTCATCCTTCTCTTAATCTAATTTGTTTTCTGGGATTAGACATCAGAATTAGATTAGAATAACTAAGACAAACAAAGAAAATGAAAAAAAAAAAATAGAATAGCAACTACCTGCGAGCTTTATGACGAATCAATGACGCTGGCAACGGGAGACGGGGAAACCGAATTCACATGCGTGGAACTATGAGAGTTCTTGCTATCAGGTACCGAAATATCAATCACCATTACCAAAACCATAGATCTCGAGCTCCTTGTCCTCATCATCATGCACATCGAGCGCAATCTTGTTGAGGTTTTGCGCGAACTTTTCAATCGAGCTCCCATCACTCCAGAAACAGGGGAAGAAACGCGGCCAAGTCAAAAATCGACCACATTCGTCAACTCCCCCATTTCATATTGACGACATGCAGTGGACAAGGAGAATGGAAATTTAGAATGAATGAATTTTTTTGGTGAAAATTTGATATATGTTTCAGTGGAGGGGAAGCGTTTTTTTTTTTAGAAGTAAACTGTTTTGGCAGAAACGAAATACAGTTTTCTGAAAAAATCAGAGGGAAACTAAAGTGTCACAAATGAGAAAGCAGTGGGAATACAATAAATAAACGTTTTATGAAAATGGGGGACGAGTTATTTCCCGTTTCCGAGCGGAGGAGGCTCACTATTCATTAATGAGATTTCGTTTTCGATTCTCCTCGTCCAGTTTTTTTCTTCTTTTCTCTGCGTCTCCTAGACGCTGACTTTTTATGTCGTTTTTGGCATTGGAAGTTGGAACCTTAGCTCCCTCCGGACAACCAGCAGCCCAGACTCTCATCTTTATCATTTCTCTCCGAGAAGCTCCAGCCGGCGATGAGAAGAAGCAGCAGCAACAACGAATTGTTCCCTCGTCCAGCCTCTCTCCCACCTCCAATCGGAGAACATCAAGCAACCGTCCTTTCCCCAGCTGCTACAGCAGGCTCCTCTCCGGCGTGAAGCTCCCTCGAAACAACCGAACTTCCCTCTCCCCAGCAGCCTCCTCTCCCGCGTGAAGTCAAATTTGGATGCCGCAATTATTCTCAATTGCAGCGAGAATACTATATCTAGTCATCTACATCTATCTACAAGATGCATAAAGACAAAACATGCTTTGGGAGAGTTTGTACCTTGGTTAGGGCAAGAAGTTTGGTACCGATATTTGGGATATACTGAATACTGTACTGAATTTGTCTATATTTGGTGTTACCAAATACACGTATTATTTTGTGGGATTGGGATTGGGATTGAATTTCAATTGTTATTCGATATTAGGAATTACGGGATTGGGATCGGTATATACCGAAATACCGATCAATACCGAAATATAAGTTAGTGTGTATTTTATCCTCTCAACTAGACTCTCACATTCACTACTACGCGACCATCAATCACCAAAAGTGTCATTTAATTATACAGAGATCATTACATCACTATTTCACACTATTATTAGTCGTCTCTCAACCTCAAATTCGTCAAATTAAAGATTACCAATTACAAGAACTTGAGATGTTAGCTCTAGGCAACTCAAGACTATTTGTTTAGTCTCTTCGCCCTAAATTAAACAATAAAATCTAATTTAATTATTAATTGCAAAGGTAAGTAATTATGTATTCGATAATACCGATTGGGATACCGAGGTACCGATTGGGATACCGAAATTATTTAGGGGTTGGGATACCAAAATTATTCAAGGATTGGGATTGGGATTGATTTTAGGGTGTAATTCGGTATTCGGAATTTGATATTGGGATACCAATACCGTACCGATTTCCACCCCTAACCTTGGTCACTTGAACGAAGAAAGAGCATTATAACCAACTATACTACATTTTATTTATTGTTATTTCTTTGATTGAACTTTAGAAATATGTTTGGTGATGATGCTTCTATATTTATAATTTATCTTAAGTTATTTATATTTTATATAAATATATTAGTTCTGGAATCGGAACTCAAGTAGTATTGATTCAAACATTAATATTAAATTGCATGTGTTGTTTAGTTCAGACAAAATACAGAAGTGTAATCAAAACGTGGACCTTCGTGACGAGTATAATCATTTTTTGTGAAAAAAAAATTATTAATGACAAAAAAATTTCGTGGTTTGAGAGTGATTCTAGGAAGCTCTTTTTCGTCATAGTGCCCAATATATCTTTATATTATGTGTAGATTTGTGACAAAAAAATTATTATATTTGTCACAAAGATCAATGTTTTGGCTACACATATGTATTTTGTCTAAACTGAACCACACATACAATTTATTATTTAATGTTTGATTCAATGTAACTTGAGTTCCGATTTCACAATTATCCCTTTCTATAAGATATAATAATTTCAGGTAAAATACTTTTCCTATTTGGTTGAAGAAGCACTTTCTATAAGATATATTCAATGTTTTAAGATTTTCTATTTCAAATTTCGTGAAGCGAGAGTGAAAGTAGGAAGAGTATTTTTTTCATCACAATTTTTATCTACTTCATATGTAAAAGTATCAATATCAAGATTTGAGTCAGGGTCTCTTCAAACAAAAACAATAATCACAACCAATTACACTAAACAAATTTTGTACAAACTATAGGTGACTGATTCTCCAAAATTTTAGTCTAGTTAATTGCTAAACATTAAACTCTTGCTAATCGGTTATGAATGGGCCCGACAATAATGAGACGATATCGAATTTAATGTGATGTTCATTTCGTCAGTTTTGGATCAGATGTGTTGATCAATTATATGGTATTAACATATAGATGAGTTATAATTAACCTCATTATACAATTTTTACTCTTTATAATAATTAATTTAATCTTAATATTTGTGATGTTTGAAATATTTTATGTATGATTTTGAGGTATAATTATTATTTGTGACATCCGCTGTAGTTTATTCAAATGTAGTATTTCATCAGGTAGTCAAAATCGAATATTGGGTGCATTTATGACTGTTTTTATCTTGGTGTTGTGAATAGGTAGAAACTTAATCATTACAATGCATATAACTATACCTAGGCACATGGTCGATCTAACCATGAAGACAATGTATAAGGATCGGTCATGTACAAGCATGAATGCTTCATGGGTCGTACTAGACTTAAACTTCAAGGGCTCGCACACAAGTTCAAGCACCACACAATCTATACTGGTGAACTCATGTTTTATGAAGAAAATGCGTCATTTGATAAAAATAAGGGCTAATACCACTGGAAATACCAACCTTTATGGGTATAGTCGGTGGCCAACTTTCCCATCGTATTTCCGTGACGTCCCTCCCCCGACACCGTTTCTAGCGACATCCCTCTTTGAAGCCAGAAGACTCGACGTGGCGGCCATGTCTCGACCTCTCGAAGAAATCCATGGTAGAGGAGACATGTTGGCAGAGTCGAGCAGCTTCAGAATCTCTAGATCTGCCGTCATCGTCGTTTTGCAGGGGAGAGAGCAGAGAGGGGTCTGGTATAGAATCAATTCAAAAAGGGAGGAGAGAGAAAATGTGACGGAGGAATCATCCAAAGACAGATTCCAATGGCGCCCAACCTCTCGCCGACAGTTGAGAGGGTTTCCCCAAACTCGGTGATAAGATTGTGTTAATAGATTTTTCCTTCGGTTAAGGATCCCATATGGGATTCTGGAGGATTGTGTTAATCCAATGGTAAGAGGATTTTATCGTTCGAATAGCTGGAGGAGAACAGCGATGCCAACGCCGTCTGGTGGCAATCGATCGAATTGGTCGGGTTTGTATAGGAATTGGGGTTGGGTTCTCTAGATTTTCCTTTAAAAATGAAGTCGATTTGCAGAGGAGGACAGAAAAAGTGTGAAGGATGCTGATCTAGAATCGATCGGAGATGGGTTTCCGCCGGTTGAAGGCTAAGGAAACCCAGCTTTTGAAAGCCTCTTCGCAAGAAGGGGGTTTCCCTCTACCTAGGTCAAATTGGAAAAGTAGTTGGAAATGAAAAACACAACACAACATCCATGAAAATACCTCAATACTTGCATTCAAACACAACCATACACAAATCATACAATTCATACAAACTTTCACATGTTTCTAGTTAGGGTTCACAAACACCTAAGTGAAGTAAAGGACTACTCCATGCTAGGTAGAAGGAATACACAAAGGAGAGAAGAGAAAACCATCGTGTAAATGAATGCTTTCTTCTTTTTGTGTGGGGATCAACCTTGAAGGTGGAAATTCTCAAAAACCTTGAGTTTGGATGAAACCCTAGCCTCCTTCCTCTTCCTTCCTTGTCACTTTCTCTCTCTAGAAGTCTTGAAGAAGAAGAAGAAGTTATCTCACTAGGCTCTCTACCCCACCCCCCTTCTTCTTTCAGCTTAACTCCCTTTATATACCCAAATCAAAGGCATTTCATGGTCCCAGCTCACGGCCGTGAACATTGGCTGGGGACCGTAATCTTGAGCAAAAGTGCACCGTTTTACTTATTCACTTCACGTTCCAGGACGGATTTTCATGATTCAGCGACCGTGATCCAGTCGAGGTCCAGTAAGGTGCGCAAAACCCTTTGGAACTATGGCACTTCACAATCTGGGAGGCTTCTTCATGGTCTGGCAGGCCGTGAACGGATGGCTTCCAGCGTGAACTACGGTTGTTCTCTCCTTTTGGCCCGTTTTCGCTCCTTTTCGTCCAACTTTCGTTACCGGGGTTGATTTAGCTAATAGGATATGAAACAAAGCAAGACAAAGCACAACCAAGTGTAAAACCAAACCCCATTAGGTGAAATCGCCTCAAACATATAAGGAAAAGGGGGTAAAATGTGTGCATTTTGACCCGAATCACTCCCCTACACTTAGACGTTTACTTGTCCCCAAGCAAACCATTTCCAAACAACGTAATATCTCAACCTAACAAGATAACTTGGGGACATATCAAAGGGCTCAAAGTGGGTGAATCTCAATGGCTATTTAACCTCAACACATGAATCTTCATAGGCAATACCGACATCCACTCAAATGACATTCGAATGCATTATGAACGTGCAAATCAATACAAGTCTCGATCAAACTACTCACCAACCACAACTAACCATGCATAGAAGTCAATTCCAAGAAACAAACGAATGGGAAACATAGGTCCTCACCGCGATAAGATATGAACTTGCAGAATGAGAATGAATCACTCACTCTCGACCAATGGGGTCGGGACCTTTTGGTGCAAAAGATGTGCACAATCATCAACACTCAAATCTTTCGTCTCTCCACCACGGCGGCAACCTCTAAATGCTAGATTTCACGAGATGGTTGTCGTCACTAACTTATCTGGAGGTCTTAGACAAGGGTTCAAATGATTGACAATGGTCTTGGACATGGGAAAAAGGCATTTTGGGTGGTGTCAAGCAAAGCATGAAGTTCTACATCTTCAACCTAAGACACAAGGTTCTATGGTTTCAACTACAACCTTCTCTACATCGGCCAAAAATCACACTTCCCTTCTTTTAAACCACTACCAATCATTACCTACATTCAAGCACACTTCTTCAACTTATCTTGCTAACCACAATTCAATCATACTAGTGAAGGAGGTCGACAAAAAATTAGGTGTTGCAATGGCTTGAGTGCCAAGAAACCCTTTCTAGAGCATACACATCATTTCTTCATGGCAACTCTCTATCTTTTATTCACCCCGTTTATGACCTCTTTTTCGATTCCTTTTTCTACTTTCCTTTTTCTTTTCTTTTTCTTCTTTTACTTTTTTCCGAGGGGGGTACTAGAGAGTTAAACACTTGTCATTTTTACACTTAACAAACAATGCTCTCTATTAAGAACTTTCCTCCAACGCTACCTTTTCATTCCTAGCAAAAATCTTGCAAAATTCACCTATGTAGAACCTCAATGGAGCTCAAAAGCGAGAACTCCGAGACACAAAGATGACTCACAACAGTTTAGACAAGAAGAAAGGAAAAGGGGTCGTTCTATCAATCACAATTAAGCTCAAAAAGAAAGAAGCTCCTAACATGAGAATGACCCAAAGTCACACGGCTCAAAGGGGTTGACTCGGGGATAAAATGTTTCGGGACAATCAACTTTTGGGCGTGGACTACTCTTATGCCTCCATCATAGTCACTAGTGACAATGGTGAATGTTACACACCATGGAGAGAGGAATCTAACACACACGAAAAAGACGATCGACACAAATCTCAATCTACACACATGAAAAAGACGATCGACACAAATCTCACATGGCTACCTAGCCACCCAATCATCTATTCCAATTTCACAAATTTCGATGCATGGCAATTGTAATCAAAGAGTAATCAAGTCAACATATCCATTCATTCGCACACATATGAGAACTAAACACTTGCACCGACCTAATGCAATTCTCAATCATCATAATAGGATACACTCGATCACAAGCAAATAATCCAAGGTCAAAGCCAATAAACAGGAGATTCTCCCACAAACCGACCACTTTGATCATGCAATGCTTGGAGCCCTCAAAATTTTCAAATTTGGGCATACATCTTGGCTCCAAGCAAACCAATTTCACACATACAATCACATGCCATTCAGAATTGAAACACCCTCACACTTAAGTACAACATTGTCCTCAATGGAGAAAAAGGGTAGGGTGAAGAAGTTACCGACCAATGGCAAGCGAAAGTTGGACAAATACTGGGGCAGGAGAATTGAGCTTCAAAAAGAAGAAGAAAACAAAACTCACACACATTCTCGCTCGATGTGAGGTTATTACATATAATTATAGGTGTCAAAACAGAACCCGGCCCGACTAACCCGCCCGACTAACCTGATCCGCAACCCGACTGCAACCCAAATTGACTAAAAGTATATGACCAGCAACTCGCCCGACCCGCAACCCGATTGACCCATGACCCGATTAACCCGTAACCCGAATGACCCGCAATCGAATTAACCCGAACCCAATTGATCCGCAACCCGATTAATTCGAACTCGATTGGCCTGAACCCGACTAACCCGTAACCCGCCTGATTGACCCGAATAATTACTATATTATATGTTATATAGAATTTCAAAATGAAGTTTGTTTGTTGTAAGACTATGTAAAACTATTTTTTTTTATTTTATAAAGGAAAGTTCTAAAAATGATATTGAGTTGAAATGATGAATATTTAATAAAAGAAAGAAATAAGGGGGAATTTTATTGCTTTCGTTTATAGGAAGAGAAAGAAGTGGGAAATTGTGGTGTTTCAACTTTTTGGAGAAAAAAAAAGAGAGAAATTTGATGCTTCAAGTTTTGGGAAAGAAAAAAGGGAATTTTTGGTGCTTTGGTTTATAGGAAGAGAAACAAGTGGAAAATTGTAGTGTTTTCTACTTAGGAAGAGAAAGAAGTGGAAAATTGTGGTGTTTCAACTTTTTGGAGAAAAAAAAAAGAGAGAAATTTGATGCTTCAAGTTTTGGGAAAGAAAAAAAGGGGAATTTTGGTGCTTTGGTTTATAGGAAGAGAAACAAGTGGGAAATTGTGGTGTTTTCTACTTTTTTTTTGGGAAAAAAGAAGAGGAAAATTTGGTGCTTAAATTTTTTAGAAAAGAAATAAGAGGGAGTTTTAGTGTTTTGGTTTATAGGAAGAGAAAAAAGTGGGAAACATTGATGTTTCAACTTTTTGAGGAAAAACAGAAGAGAAAAATTTGGTGCTTCAAATTTTGGTGAGTTTGATTTATAAGAAGAGAAAAGATTTTTTTTATTTATGAAAAGAAAAATTGGGGGAAATCTTTGTATTTTCATTTTTTTAAGAGAAAGAAGAGAGAAAGCTTATCACAATGTTTACATATGATGGTTTACGAGTTTAATTAATTATCGATTTGATTATCACAATGTTTACATATGATGATTTAGGAGTGTAACATTTAGTGACTAAAACATTGTTTATACTCTATAACAAACCTTACTATAGCTTTTAGACATGTCTAATTTGATGTAGTAAATTTGAGAACATGTAAAGAGTTATCCTATCTCAAATGCATATTATTTTACATTTAGGTTGGAAACCTAATCTTACTCATTAATTCTCCCACCTCATTTTCATTTAGGTGGGAAACTTCCCCCTCTCTTTTTGATATATTCATCCCAACTTTTCACTTCTCCATGTTTTCCTCCCCACTTTTCGTTCTTCTCATTTTGCTTTCCCTCTACAATTTGTCTATACCAAAATGAAACGCTAATGAGGAAAAATCCTTCCTCCCCCCCTAATTCTACCTACCAATGTTTCAATTCCTTTAATATTAAGCCCGATTTTCATCTCTCATAAACTGTTGTTTATAATATTAGTGTCTTGTCTAGATTTTGCATATGGATATAAATTAAGAATATTGATTGACAATGACTTGCCAAAAATTTCCATGAACCTTGATTCATATAGGTTTTTGTTAAACAAAAATTTTATACTTCACTAAGAATTAAGCTTTTAATATATTATATATATATTGCTGCCCAACTTTTGCTTCCCGTTGCATTGCCGCCCAATTTTCTTTTTGCTTGATATATATTGCTGCCCAACTTCTTCATACCCGCTCCAATAGGCCGCCCAATTTTTCGTTTGATTGATCTATATTTCCGCCAAAAAATGTCGAGATAAGAAAAAGTGTTTTTCTTCTTTCTTTTAACAGTGTCTATTGGTTGCAAATGTTGATATCGTCATTACTATTATCTAGTGCACTTTACCAATTATGATTAATTACATGACAAGTTTGCAAATCATACAAATTAATTCAACATTTTGGCTAGTTTTTTTTTAATTAAGTATATATATGAGGTAGAAATAAGTTGGTTAAAAATTGTGAAAAATATTTTAAATTAGTGTAATAGGATGTGTAAGTTGGTAGCGAGTAAGGACTAAGTAACTCAATGCGTTGTCCCGAACAACCCTCAACCCGATCCGCCCGCAACCCGATTGAACCCGAATCCGATGAACTCGTAACCCGATTAACCCGGAACCCGATTGAACCCTAACCGAAGAACCGACAACTCGACGAACCCGAAACCCGACTAACCCACATCCCGATTGAACCCAATCCAAACCCGCCTAATTGACACCTATACATATAATAATAGTCGACATCAAAATAAACACAAACCTCCGTTGGGTTGCCTCCCAATAAGCGTTGGTTTAACGTCTCAAGCTTAACGGAGCCTTCGGACTAAACGTCGTGCAGGAGCACAACCTCTTTTTCGGCATCACCACACCCCCAAGGTAGTGTTTGAGGCGTGTCCGTTCACTTTGAATACCCCTTGCTCCGGGTGGGAAATCTCCACCACCCCGTATGGGAACACTCGAGTCACCACATATGGGCCCAACCATTTAGATCTCAGCTTTCCAGGAAATAGGCGTAGCCTAGAGTTGTACAAGAGCACCTGCTCCCCAGGTTGAAAGTCCTTGCCCCCTTTGAGTCTAGCATCAAGCAGGCGCTTTGTCTTTTCCTTGTAAATCTTGGTGTTCTCGTAGTCATGAAGGCGCCACTCCTCAAGTTCCAGCACCTGCAACTTTCTTTCATTTCCGCATAAAGTTGGGTCCATGTTCAATAGTTCGGTAGCCTAGAAATCCCTATGCTCTAGCTCTACAGGCAAATGGCATGCTTTGCCGTACACCAATTGGTAAGGCGAGACGCCTATTGTGTTTTCTAGGCCATGAGGTATGCCCATAAAGCATCATCGAGCTTTGTGGGATCGGTCCATGGTCTTTTACAGAATCCTTTTCAATTCCCTATTTGAAAACTCCACCTGACCACTTGTTTGAGGGTGGTAGGCCATAGAGACCCAGTGGGTGACACCATAGCGATCAAGGAGTTCATCAAACTGTCCCTGGAAGTGGGTTCCTCGATCACGAATGATGGCCCTAGGGGTCCCAAAACGTGAAAACAATTTCTTAAGAAATCCGCAGACTCGTCTTGCATCATTGGTGGGGAGGGCTTGAGCCTCAACCCACCTTGAAACATAGTCCACGGCCAATAGAATGTACTTGTTTCCAAAAGATGAAGGGAGAGGACCCATGAAATCGATGCCCCAAACGTAAAAAATCTCACACGTAATGGAAATTGTATGGGACATCTCATTACAGTTAGAAATGTTATATGTCCTTTGGAAGTTGTCGCATTGCCGCACAAATGAATCAGCATCTCAAAACAACAAGGGCTAGTAGAAGTGTAGAACCCCAATTGTAGGACCTTCCTCGCCGTGCGATTGCCCTAGTTGTGTCCTCCTACCTGCCCTTTGTGGTACTGAATAAGAATAGCTGTCATTTCTTCCTCCGGGACACATCTCCATGATCCTATCAGCACCAATCCTGAATAGGTGAAGATCATCCAAAAAGTAGTAGCAGAGGTCGGCGAAGAATTTTATTTTCTCATGAGTATTCATCACCTTTGGAAGTTGCTTTCCAACCAAATAATTGGCAAAGTCGGTGAACCAAGGGGTGGCGCTCTCCACTATGAAAAATCACGAACAACCTTTCATCACGAAAAGTGTCATTAATCTCGCCGTGTGAATTGGTTCCACCGCGACCTTCGAGTCGGGAGACATGGTCCGCAAGGATCTCGGCTCCTTTCTTGTCTTTGATATCCACATCTAACTCTTGAAAAAGCAAGATCCATCTGATCAAATGGGATTTGGCATCGGTCTTGCTCATCAAGAATCAGATGGCGGAGTGGTCGGTGTAGACAATAACTTTCGAAAGCACAATATAGGATTGAAACTTGTCAAAAGCAAAGATGACTGACAACAACTCTTTTTTGGCATTTGTGTAATTCTCTTGAGCCACATTCAATGTCTTTGAGGCATAACATATAGGTTGGAAATGCCTTCTCGCCTTTGACCCAACACTGCTCCCACTGCATAATCACTGGCATCATACACAAGTTCAAAGGGGAGGTTCCAATATGGAGAAACCATGATTGGGGCATTTGTAAGTTTAGCCTTAAGGATGTTGAACGCATCAAATCATTCCTTTGTGAAAATAAAAGGGGCATCCTTCCCAAAAGCTTCGTTAGTGGTAATGCAATCTTTGAAAAGTTTTCTATGAACCGACGGTAGAACCCCACATGCCCAAGGAAACTCCGGATACCCTTGACCGATGTCGGTGGTGGAAGCTTGCTTATGGTCTCAACCATAGCTCTGTCAAATTCAATGCCCTTCTTTGAAATCTTATGCCCAACCACAATTTCTTCTCGCACCATGAAATGTGACTTCTCCCAACTCAAAGCTAAATTGGTTTCTTCACAACGTGCAAGGACCTTCTCCAAATTAGCCAAGCAATGAGCAAACGAATCTCCAAATACTGAGAAGTCGTCCATGAACACTTCCATGATCTCCCCCACAATTTTGTCGAAGATAGCCACCATGCACCTTTGGAATGTGGTAGAGGCGTTGCACAATCCAAAAGGAATGCCATCAAGTTATAGTTCTTGTGGGAATGAGCTCGTCCTTTCCGTTGACCACCACCGTCATTCCCCCTTTCTTAGGTACTAACTATGTAGGGCTCACCCACTATCTTTCAAAGATGGGGTAAATGATCCCGACATCTAAGAGCCTAATCACTTCAGCTTTCACCACCTCCTCCAGGTTAGGATTAACCCATCGTTGAGGTTGTCGGACCGGCTTGGCATTCTCAACCATGAGAATCTTATGTGAACAGAATAAGGGACTTCTCATGGTGGCACAAGACCTCAATTAATTCGGTCTTCTATTCTGATGTGAGGTTGGAATTAATGATACCGGGAGTTTGCCATCGTCCATCTGGAACGCATATTCGAGATGGCTATGCTACTGCTTCAACTCCAACTCGGGTGGCTCTTCCAAAGAGGTAGGGATCTTAGGCATGGGAGGCAAGGCTTCCACCTCAACTTTTGGGGTTGCGAAATAGAGCTCCTCAACGTGTGAAGGTTGCTCTTCCTCACTTTGAGTCTCCGAGTCATCGGTCCCTACAAAAAGAAAACTCCTCGAGAGGGTTAGTAGGATTGGCACCCACAGACGCGAGTGCCAAAATAAAATCGGACACATTATCACAAAACAAATTATTATCATGAAGGTAAGAAAAAATCCATACTATCATCTATGGAGAAGGTAATCTCCTCATCTCCTGCCCTAAGCACCAATCTTCTCCATGCACATCAACTAAAACCTTAGCGGTAGCCAAAAATGGCCTACCCAAAATAAGGGGAACATCAACATTGTCGTTGATATCAAGAATGACAAAATCAACTGGATATATGAGGGTTCCAACCTTAACAAGTATATCCTCTACGATACCCTTAAGATTAGAGGTGACAAAGACCTTGCCTCTACTTGGATTGCAGAAGTCTTGCCTAGTATCTGACTTCTCTTCTTCTTCTCCTGTCTCAGTGGAGACGGTTTTGTCCGTCGGGCTGTCTTTTTGTGTTTCCTTTATTTTCTCCTCCCCTGCGTGTATTTCTTTTCTCCTTTCTGTTTCTCTGTTTACAACTCTGTCTCTTTGATCGGGGTTCAGGTCTTCTGAACCTTTTTTTTCAGCCTTTAATAAAATCGCCATTATAAAAAAAAATCCAATCCATTTAAATTCAATCCATTTTATCCAAATCCAATTGGATTGGTAGATTCATGGATCAATCCATGGATCCAAATGGCAAATTACAGTTTGGTACCTATAATTTTTATATTTTACATTTTGGTACCTAAAATTTAATTTTTTATACGTAAAATCTTATTGGCAAATTACATTTTGGTACCTAAAATATTTCATTACAACATTTTAGTACCTAAACTTTTCACATTTTACATATTGGTCCAAGGCCGAGGATGTCATTTGGATTCATGGATAATCCACCAATCCACTTGATCCAATCCATGAATCTACCAATCCATTGGATCCAATCCATTTGTTCCATGTATCCATCAATCTAATCCACCAATCCATGGATCCAATCCAATTGCCACCTCTACTTAAGATACACTATGGGTATGTTTGCTAATTGGATGTTCATCCTAGTGACTCTAAGTTCACCTAGGTCTAACTTTTTGAACAACCTATACAACATCACATTAATGGACTTTCCTGTGCACATGTTGCTAATAAAACAAGGAATAGTAAAACTCCTGGATTTGTGCACTTTGCGGGAAGATGGTTGTGCAGGATGGCAGAGCATTCTTCATTCAGTGCCACGGTAGCCATCCATTCCAGCTTCTTCTTGTTGGTGAGGAGGTTTTTCAAGTACTTGGCGTTCTTGGGCATCTGGGTGAGAGCTTCAACGAATGGAATGTTGAGGTGTAATTAATTCATCGGCTCCATAAAGTGAGAAAATTCTACTGCCATGCGATCCTTGTGAAGTCTAGTGGGATAGGGGAGTGATGTACTTGCTTTTCCCTTCTATTACTTAGATGGAGGAGTTGGGTCCACCTTTTCCCCACCTGATGCACTCGCGCCTCTTTTTGTTCGAGGGCTTAGTAGGTTCAGTTTGCTCCACTGTCTTGATAGGCTTCTTCTGGACGGGCACTTCTTGAGTTTCTCTCTTGCTTCTAAGGGTTAGAGCTCCTAGCTCAGATTCATTAAGTTGATTACGAGAAAGAGCCGCTTGTGTCATAATCCACATCCTTGTGGTCAAGGTCATCAAGATTGATTGATTACTTTGCAACCCCGCCTCTATGGATGAGGACTTCTCCGTCGCTTCCCCCTTAAACATTCTATTTTCTCGAACTTCTTCAAACCAGAACTAGCGAAGGTGGTTATGAGCTCCTCAAGAGAAGACATCCTGTCGGAATATGCCGAGGAAATAGAATATAGTTGCTCAACAGGGGTATCCTCTTCGTTCATCAATTGGCACTCTGAAATCTCATGGTTGGTACTTGAACATCAATCACACGCCATTAACGGCTTCTTCCCTTGCTTCTTGTCTTCAAGGAGAGCATCAATTAAACGGTCAATCTTAGCGGCAAGTGGAGGACTTGCTTCCACCTAACGTACTCCTCTCTCGGTATCTCTTCTACCATTTCTTGTCAAGCCCCAATCATACCCTTTTATCGTCATATCTTCGAGCAATTGGGTCACCTGGGATGGAGTCATGTTCATCAATTTCCCTTGACGTAGAGAGTTAATGAGGATCTTGTCATCTTGGTGGAGACCGCCGTAGAAGGTCTCCATCCGAAATTGCTCTTCAAAACTGTGATGAGGGCATTGGAGGAAGTAATCCGAGAACCCCTCCGATGTGTCCCTCAATTTCTCATCCTCTTCTTGAATGAAATGGGTGATATTTTTGCACCACTCCGCCGTCTTAGAAGGTGGACAATATCGGGTCATGAACTTGTTGAGCAAGTCGTCCCATGAAGTGATCGAGAGTGGTGGTCTATTGTTGAACCACTTGAGCGCATTCCCCGCAAGTGAGTAGGGGAATAACCTCAACTTCAAAGCATCTTCGGGAACCCCATTTATCTTCAAACTTCTCGCAATCTCGATAAACCTTTGAACATGCTCCCTCAGAGACTCATTTTGAAGCCCATGGAATCGCACATTGTTTTCGATCATTGTGATGAGTCCGGGCTTGATCTCAAAATTGTTGGCGGCCACGGGTGGATGCAAAATGGTAGCTTGAATATCCGCCGCCCATGGAGCCATGTAGTAGCTCATGGTCATCGGT